GCGGTGCTCGGGGGACCATATGGGATGCTGGGAATCGAACCCAGGTTGGCCGCGTGCAAGGCAAACGCCCTACCCGCTGTGCTATCGCTCCAGCCCCTGTGTTCTAATCTTCCAGCTGGAAAGTAGGAATCCAGAGACAACCGCACACCATCCTTTCGTTTTGTTTTTGAGTCACACGTGGCAGTGCTCGGGGCTTACTCCTGATTCTGCACTCAAGCAATTAGTCCTGAAGGGCTTGGGGGACTCTAAGGGAAGTTGGGAAGCAAACCCAGGTCAGCTGCGTGCAAGGAAAATGCCCTTCCCGCTGTACTGTCGCTCCAGCCCTCATCCTTATTGCTGGATTGTACCCAGTAAAGAAACCAGCCACAAATATAAAGCAACATAATGGGAGACTAACACCCAAGGATAGTAGAGATTAGGGCCAGGAGGATCGCTCCACGGGTTGAAAGCCAGCCTCACATGCTGGGGGAAAGGCAGCTCAGATAGAGAAGGGACCACAAGTAAAGGATGCTTGGAGGGCTCACTCGGGATGGGAGATACGTGCTGAAAGTAGACTATAGGCCGAACATGATGGCCACTTAGTACCTGTATTGCAAACCAAAGCACCCAAAAGGAAAGAGTAGGAGGAAATGTGTCTGCCACAGAGGTGGGGAGGGATGGGCGGGGGAGGTTCCTGGGATCAGTGGTGGTGGAGAATGGGCACTGGTGGAGGGATGGGTACTCAACCACTGTACGACCAAAACATAATCAGAAGTGTGTTAAGTTTGTAATTGCATCTCACAGTGTTTCATTAAAAAAAATAATAATTTTTTGGGGGGGCTGGAGTGATAGCACAGCAGGTAGGGCGTTTGCCTTGCACGCGGCCAACCCGGGTTCAATTCCCAGCATTGAATTGACCAGTATGGTCCCCTGAGCACCGCCAGGGATAATTTCTGAGTGAAGAGCCAGGAGTAAGCCCTGTGTGTCGCCAGGTGTGACCCAAAAAGCAATAATAGTAATAATAATAATTTTTTTAAAAGCCACAAAAAATAGGAAAGAGCTTGTCTGCCGGGCTGGCGAAGCTGCCCCAGGCCCCTGTACAGTGACCCTGGCTCCAAAGAAGACCAAGTGCAGTGGGCAGGGCCCTGATACGTGTGTGGCCAACCAGGGTTCAATCTCCAACACCCCTTGAAACTCCCCTGCACCCCGCCAGGAGTGATCCCTGAACACAGAGCCAGGAGTCAGCTCTGAGCACCTTCGGGTGTGCCCCCCCAAAAAAAATAAACAAAAAGGTAAAAGAAAGCGTAAGTGTCACTTTGAAGGAGGTCTCAGAGACTGCCTTCATTCAAATCAGAGCTATTTCCAGCTTCACTTCTCTTGTCTTTTTCTTTCTAACAGGATCATTTTGCTGTTCACTTGATTTGAGTCGCTCTTTTTTTTTACCGAGTCATCATGCATTGGTTTTCTAGAAGCTTCCTGCGCTGGCATGCTGTGACCACTCTTTGTTTATGCTGGGGTTTTCCCCTCACTAGGCACCCGTTCCCCCCACCCCGCCACCCCTCGAGTGACAGGTGAGGCCAGACTGGGTGAAAAAGTGACCCTATTCCAGCACGATATGAAGCTCAGAGAGCTTTGCCGTTCCACCGTGCTGCAAAGAAAATGAACTGCAAGTCATTAAAAACGTTTCTCCTGGGGCTGGAGCGATAGCACAGCAGGTAGGGCGTTTGCCTTGCATGCAGCCAACATGGCCGACACGGGTTCGATTCCCAGCACCCCATATGGTCCCCTGAGCACCGCCAGGAGCAATTCCTGAGTGCATGAGCCAGGAGTAACCCCTGAGCATCGCTGGGTGTGACCCAAAAAGCAAAAAAAAAAAAAAAAGTTTCTCCTACAATACTCTCTTTCTGGATACAGAAAACAGTGAGAGGGGGGCAGGGAACACTGATTCAAAGAGTGTTGCTTGTTGTCTGTGCTTGTTACTCAGCATAAATACTTTTTCCTTGAAAAAAAAAGTGAAACTCTTGCACCTTTAGAACTGCGTGCTAATGGGGGGGGAATGGGGAGTGGGAGGGATACTGGGATCGGTGGTGGTGGAAAATGGGCACTCGGTGGAGGGATGGGTACTCAATCATTGTATAATTGAAACCCAAGCACAAAAATTTGTAAGTCTACAACTGTACCTCATGGTGTTTCATTGAAAGGTGGTCACGGTCCTCCCATTATTCATCGATTTGCTCGAGCGGGCCCAGTAACATCTCCATCATGAGACTTGTTGTTACTGTGTTTGGCATATCGAATATGTCACGGGTAGCTTGCCAGGCTCTGCCGTGTGGGCGAGATACTCTCGGTAGCTTGCCGGGCTCTCTGAGAGGGGCGGAGGAATCGAACTCAGGTCGGCCATGTTGGTTGCATGCAAGGCAAACGCCCTACCCGCTGTGCTATCGCTCCAGCCCAGGTGTTTCATTAATAAAAATTTAAAAAAAAAAAAGAACTGCGTGCTAAAAGCAGGAAAAGGAACAAACATCCCAGTACCTGTATTGCAAACAAAATGCCCAAAAGGAGAGAGAGAGAGAGAGAGAGAGAGAGAGAGAGAGAGAGAGATGGAAGGAGGGAAAGAGAGAAGGAGAAAGAAGGAGAGAGGGAGGGAGAGAGGAGAGAGAGAGAGGGAGAGAGAGAACGTGCATGTGTGCATACGAATGTGTGTGTGTCTACCATAGAGGCAGGCTCGGGGGGAGTGGGGACCAGGAGGGTCACTGGTGTGGGAAGTATATACTGGTGACAGGAGAGGTGTTGGAGCACTGTAGGACTGAAACCCAATCATTAACAGCTTTGTAATTGTGTATCTCACCACCACGATTCGATAATAAATAAATAAATAAATAAATGTAAAATTTGGCATCTCACTAAACAAATCCACCCGAAACCTGGACTAGCAGCCTGCCCTGAGCAGGACCAAAGTGCTTCGGGCCTCTCTCGGTGGCGGTGCCATAAAATTAGGCGTGCTTTTAAGATACGATATAACTTAATGCCAGGAAGCACAAAACAGACATTTTTTTTATTAGTGAGACACCGTGAGGTACAGTTGTAGACTTATAAATTTTCATGCTTGGGTTTCAATTGTACAATGATCAAACACCCATCCCTCCACCAGTGCCCATTTCCCACCACCACGGGTCCCAGTATCCCTCCCACCCCCCATCCCCCCATCCCACCTTGCCTCTGTGGCAGGGCATTCCCTTTTGTTCTCTCTCTCTTATTGGGTGTTGTGGTTTGCAAAAGAGGCAATGGGTGACAATCATGGAAAACAGACATTAATTTTTAACTGCATGAATTTTCGTTCTGCTGCGGTCCTTTCTCCTTACTTTGAGCGAAAGGAGAGGGGTTTGGTTTTTTAAAGAACCTGCTTCAGCCAAGGGGAAACAATGCCTCTTGGCTTTCTTGTAGCAGCCAGAAACCAGCCGTTCTCAGAGTTCAGGGGAGAACCCCCCTCCACGACGTCTGCAGCGGGGATGAGAGGTCCCCAGAGAGAAAGACCAGCACCGCACAGACCCAGGAGAACCAACCCAGCTGGCCGGCTGACCAGCCGGGATTCACAGCCAGAAACAGCGAGGAGAAAAGCAGAAGCACCTTATATTCCAGGCACGGGGCGGGGAGACGCACCCCGTAGACACGGCCCTCTCAGGAGGGAGCATGTTTGGGAAGGGCCCGCACAGATGAGCCAGGAGGCTGAGGTGGCTCCGGGGGTCGGACACTGCGTGGCCTCAGGAGGCAGAGCCCCAGCAAGGCTGCCTGCAGGAACCACGGCTGCGGATGCATCTCCAGGAAGAACAGAGCAGCTCAGCCGACACCGCGCAGACAGCTGGGAGGGCAGGGGTTGCCGGGGTATTTGTCCGAGCATCACCCCTACAGGTGATGGGTGGGTGATTGGGCTTCCAAGAAGGCACCCAAGGGGTCATTAACACACACAGCCCCTTGGTGGCCAGAGCCCACAACATCCAGGACAACTGGGAGCGGCTGCAAATGTGAACCAGCTGCTGAGGCTAGAGAGATAGCACAGCGAGTAGGGCGTTTGCCTTGCAAGCGGGTGACCCGGGTTCGATTCCCAGCATCCCATATGAGCCCCTGAGCACTGCCAGGAGTAACTCCTGAGTGCAGAGCCAGGAGGAACCCCTGTGCATCGCCGGGTGTGACCCAAAAAGCAAAAAAAAAAAAAAGTGAACCATCCGGATGGTAAAATGTCCTGACAGACAGACAGACAGACAGACGTGTCTGGGAGCTCCGGGCTGAGGTCAGAGCAAGGGAGGCCCTGAGTTCCAGCGGGGCTGGTCCTAGCCATCCATTTCAGGTGACAGTGACCAGTCACAGGCCCATCCTGGATGATTCAGCATCTCTGCCCGCTCCTGCGCTGGGGTGGGCACCAGCCAGGGAAAACCAACTTTGGAGAAGGGGCAAAGGAGTGCGCACCCCGACTTCTCTGGGAGCCGCCCTCCCCTTGGCCCCTCGGGTGTGTGAGTGCTCTCCCCAGCCCCCTTAGGGCGCCCCCCGCCGGCCCTGGGCATGGCCTGCCTCTGTGCGCCTCGCGCCCACACTTTTCCGGAGGGACTGTGCGTGCCCAGTCTCCTGGGATTCCCTGAGGGCGGCAGTCTAGGGGGTCCCGCTGCCAGGCGCCCAGGCTCTCGTGAGTGAGGCCTGACCTTGGGCCCCTCGCTGGCCCTGTCAGGTTGGATCAAGTTGGTTTCAAGTTTGGGGGGAGTTTTTGGTTCTGGGGGGAACCACACACAGTGGTGCTTGGGTATCACTGCTGGCGGGGCTCAGGAGACCAGAGCGGGTGCTGGTTATGAAGCCAGGATGGTGACATGCAGGGCAAATGCCCTAACTCTGTGCTATGTCCTCCACCGGGGGCGGAGGGCAGCAGGAGGAGGGGGGCACCCCTCTTCCTGGAGGCTTCCTCTCCCACTCTGCAGCCCCAAACACCTCCCTAGGCAACACCACCAACAAGAAAATGAACGTAAAAATGGACATGGGCTATTGATCTTTATTTGTGCGATCAGATTCTGGAAAGTTCTCCCTGTTCAAAGTTAATTCAGAGACAAGTAACCTAAGGCACATTAAGGCCGGGGGCGGGGGGGGGGGGGGGAGCCGACAGGGAGACATTTGTTATACCATAAGGAGCTCTATATTTTGAAATCATTATTTCGGGGTAAGAAGGTTTGTTGATTGCAAAGCAAACAAAAAAATTGTTTTTAAAGCAAAGGTCAGAATCATCAGGTACCGAGGCGTCCGCGAAGGGTCTTCACAGTCAGCTCTGTACTGCAGGGGCTTCGGGCACAGGCTCCCGGGGAGCCCCAGGCGGGCAGAGAGGGGACGGCGAGCTTCGGGTCCCAGCACGCTGCTGAAGTCGCGTGGGGAGAGTCTGGCTGCTGCCTCGGGTCCTGGGGTTCTGGAGGAGAGGGGGAAGGCAGAGAGGGCATGAGCAAGGTGGGTGGGGCACTTGTGCCTCGCCTGGGGGTCTCGTCCAAAGCACTCGGCACCAGACCAGAGGGATAGCACAGCGGGGAGGGCGTTTGCCTTGCATGTGGCCAACCCGGGTTCGATCCCCAGCATCCCATATGGCCCCCTGAGCACCACCGGGAATAATTCCTGAGCGCAGAGCCAGGAGAAACCCCTGAGTATCACTGGATGTGACCCAAAAAGAAAAAAAAAGCACCCAGCAGCAGCAGGTGCGTGGACAGGAGCAGGGCCGGCCCCCTGCACCTTTGGGAAGTGGAGGGGCTTGGGGGGGAGGGGGCACTGGCTCGGGCTGCAGACACGGAAGGTGAGAGATGGCCCTGGAGGTGGCCCTTCCCCCCTCCACCCCCGCTCTCTGGAAGCTCACGGACCCTCCTTCCCAAGCGGTGAGCTGAGCTGAGCACAGCGTCCCCAGAAGGAAGCCCCCCTGCGAGCCCAGCATCTGCCCTGCTGTGTCTGCCAGGGGGTCACTGGTCTGTCCAGGGCCAGGGGAGGGACTGGGGGCGCAGGGTCACACACCACAAGGACAGAATCCCCTGGAACCGCAGGGTCGCTCATGTACCCGTCTACGAAACCGCCAGGCGGCAGACTGCAGACTGTTCTCCACTGTGAGTGGGACGCATCCTGTTCATGAGTCCTTTTTAAATAACTGTTTTTGTGTGATGATTGTTTTTAAATAAGGACACAAATTCTAGGCCTGAGTGAAGGCTCTTGCCTTGCACGGGACCCCAGGTCAGCACCCAGACTGATCCCTAGGCACTGCCAGGTGTGACCCAAAACAGGCATGATTTTTAAAGGACTCTACACAGAAAATGACTGAAACGTAAATGATACTTTTTGAGTCTTGCATTGATGGATTTTGGGGAGGGGGGAGTTGACACACCAATTTATTTTCCTGAAATTGAGTCCCAACCTCTGAAACAGGGTCCCTCCCAAGGCATTCAGTGGGCCTGAGGGTCTGTGTCGGGGGCTGGGATGGACCCAATGGGCTGGATTCATCATAACTTAAGTGACCAGGGACTTCCCTAATGCAGCAGTGGCCACCAGCTCCCGACCCCCAATAACACATCACACGGTTTTTATTTTAGCACTTGATTTCTTTTGGAGAGACCACACCCAGTGATGCTCAGGGCTGACTCCTAGCTCTTCACTCAGGAATCACTCCTGGTGGTGCTCAGGGGATCCCGGGAATCGAACCTGGGTCAGCCATGTGCAAGGCAAGTGTCCTCCCCGCTGGACTAACGCTCCAGCCTGAGCACTTTATTCTAAGGCTGGGACTCTCGGGAAGGTGGTCCCTGAACAGGTAAATCTCCGACGCCATAGCTGATGTTTGCAGAGTCCCAGCATCCCCCTCCTTCCCCTGCCAGAGAACTGCAGAATTCTGGATACTCCTGGGTACTCCCCAGAGAACTGCAGAATTCTGGAGTGTCACTGAAACTTTACAAAGCTCGTCTCCTTTCCCCTCTCCCGAGAAGCCGGTGTTGTGCCTCGAACCATGCAGTCCGACTCTTCTTCACCTTCACATCGCTCTGAGCACATTTGTGCACTAAAAACTCTTGATTCACTAAAGCAAATAAGTATTTATCAAGCAAGACCGTCGGCCTCGCTGCGCTAGAAAAAGACGCTCTCTCTGCCTGAAACCTGATGGCAGGGACAGACAGACACAGGAACCAGAGCCCCCACAGTCGTCGTTGCGGCTGGTAAAGGTGGGTCTTTCTCAGCACCTGGCAGTCGGGAGGGGTCCTCCACCCACCGTCTGAGCCCTCTCCTGGTCCCAGCACCCGCTCTCAAACACGGCCCCCATCACTGCGGACACCCCCTCCCTCCCCCAGGGCTGACCCAGGATGCTCAGGGAGGGAGAAGCACCACGGAGGATGCTGGGTAGGGCCAACCCTGCAGGGGACCATGGCATCCCGGGGCCTTGGCCTGGGCTAGCCGGGAGCTGAGTACAGCAAGGGGGTCCACCTCGAGCCCTTCTTCATGTGGGAGCCTTGGGAGGGGATCTCTGAGGGTCTGAGTCGCCAACTGCACCTCTGGGGGTCTGTCCCACACCCCCACCCAGGAAGGAGCCCCGGGAACTAATATACTCGCATGGCTGCAGATGTACCTTTTCCCGGAAAGGGGACTTTGCAAAAGATGAACCAGAGCCCCCAAGAAATGGGCCCCTTGAGCCCACTTGCCTGCGGCTCCAGCAAGGAGGACCCCGGCCCCAGGCAGAGGCCTAGGCTAGACCCCAGCAGAACTCCCAGAGCGAGTCTCGGCCCAGACTGAGTACCTGGAAAGCACAGGGCTAGGAATCTTCTTCCTTTTCTCCTTCCTCTTCTGCTCCTTCCTCAGTTTCCCCCTCGGCTCCCTCCTCCTCAGTGACTTCCTCTACCTGGTTCAACAAGATGACAAGGTTACTAAGAACAAACACAGTGTTCACTCCTCGGCCAGCCTCCAGCACACATCATACACTTAACATAAACACACAAAGGCAACAGACACACGATATGCCCGCAACACGTACAATCCACACAGCACACCCTCGGCACATGCAACATATTGCACTGTGTCACACATGCTACACACGCATGACCTGCAGTGCATAGCATGTACCACATGTATCATGCATGCAACACAGTACATGTAGAACACGTGCTGAGTACAGCTTCCAGACATCCCACACAAAACACACATGCAACACATCTGTGGTACATAAAACACACACAATATACAACCACCCTCAAGACACACAACAGACACAAAAACCTTCAACACATACACAGTTCATCCAATTGCAAAGCACCCTCGACACACACATACACACCACAGACACAGTATACGCTCAACCCACACTCACACCCCCCTCAATGCAAAACACATTATGCACATACGGCACACCCTCCCCCAGCACACGTACACACGCATGTGACCCCAGACACGTACACACACGCACAGTCAAGTGTCCCAGAGTTCGGGTGCTCACACTGAGTGTTTCTCCAAGGGTCCTCCCAGGCCAATAGAGATGGACACTGAGCCCCACACACACACCTCCTGTCCCAGGGAATGGCCACACCCCAAGATGCTCAGGGCTGACTCCCAGTTCTGCACTCAAGAATTCCCCTGGTGGTACTCGGGGGACCAGACAGGATGCTGGGATCAGACTCAGGCTGGCCGAGTGCCAGGCAAATGCCCTCCCCGCTGTGCTATCGCTCCGGCCCCTGGTTGTCTCTGTCTGGAAGTGAAATTCTTACATCTCTTTTTTTGCTTTCTCACCTAGAGGTGCCTTGGGTGTGATTGATTAGGCAAATCCCATTATAGAGAGCTGAGCACTGTGGGCACGTGCCTGGGGCCACGCCTGCCCCACATGACCCCAAAGATGTCACTAGGTGCCGCCTGCAGGCCCCTGGCATCACCGGATGCCTGGGTAACCCCAGCACTACGTCCTCTGCTCTGCGCCCTGACCCAGTGTGCAGAGAATCATGGTTTCCCCATGCTCTGGCCTCCTCGGCACCCCAGGGCCCCTCTGCTGCACCCCAGAATAAGAGCCAGGCGCCCAGACGCCAGCCCAGGCCAGAACCTGTGGTTAGACAGATCGGGGGTGGCTGCAGAGGCGGCAGGAGTCTGAGACCACCGGACTCTCATTTCCGGAGAAGACGTCCGTCCCGCAGACTCAGACCCAGGACGGCAGATACGGGGCCGGGAGCACTCGCCCTTGGCAGGGAACTCACCATGTGGGGGTGGGAGGGGCAGTTAGGACAAAGAAGGGGCCCCTGGGACACTGTAGTTGGGAATGGTCACTCTGGGCAAGAATGAGAGCTGGCAGGAGGGAATAGGACAGAGATGAGAACCTCTCAGTGTCTGTATTGCAAACCATAATGCCCAGAAGGAGAGAGAGACAAAGACAGACAGACACACAGACACACAGACAGGCAGAGACAGAAACAAAGACAGAGACAGAAATAGAGACAGAGATAGAGACAGAAACAGACAGAGACAGAGAGACAAAGAGAGATAGACACAGAGACAGAGACACACAAAGAGACAGAAACAGAGACAGATAGAGACAGAAACAGACAGAGACAGGGAGACAAAGAGAGATAGACACAGAGACAGAGACACACAAAGAGACAGAGACAGAGACAGAGAGAAGTGTCTACCATAGAGGCAGGCCGGTGGGGGAGGGGGCTGGTGGGAAACTGGGGACACTATTGGTGGGAAATGTATGCTGATGTAGGGACAGTGTTCCAGTGGCTGAAACCCAACCATGAACAGCTCTATAACTGTGCATTTTATTCAATTAAAACAAAACAAAATTAAATTTTAAAAAAATTAAAATGACGGCAGAAATGCGTCCAGTCCCTGCAGTAGGTTACCGGTGCCAGGCCACCCCAGGTGGGAATAGGTTTCATGCCTTGGTCTATTCCCCCTGGCGGCTCGGTGGCCGCCATCCACCAGAGGTCACTGGACAGTCAGAATTGGGCCTGCAGTGATGAGATACACCAAGCCTTAGGGGATAGGGTTGTAGCTGGCCCTTTCCTCCCCATCCCAACGAGATCCCAAGTCGCCACCCACAAATGGCCTCTCTGGCTCCTGATCAAGCTTCTTACCGGCCATAATCCCAGAGACTCAGGAACAAATCTGGGAACACAGAAGGTTTTGGCAAAAATCCCTCCAGATTTAATTGTTAAAAATTTCAAAATTCCAAAATTGTGTGGCCACTACTGCGGCCTCACGACATCATATGTTATTCATAATCAGCAATAGAAAACAAATTGTCTACGGTTGCCTATTCAGCTGGAGTGATAGCACAGTGGTAGGGCGTTTGCCTTACAACATGGCCAACCCAACGTTCGATTCCTCCGCTCCTCTCGGAGAGCCCGGCAAGCTACCGAGAGTATCTCGCCCACACGGCAGAGCCTGGCAAGCTACCCGTGACGTATCCGATATGCCAAACACAGTAACAACAAAACAAGTCTCATGATGGAGACATTACTGGGCCCGCTCGAGCAAATCGATGAACAACGGCAGGACCGTGACCATGCCTATTCAGCAGATCTGAGTGTTGGGGTAAAATCCCAAATAAATAATGGTGGGTCTGGTGTCGAAATATTGAATGTAATCAAAGTAGAGAGAGAGAGTAATGTGGAAATCATCTGACCCACAGGTAGGGGGATGGTGTGCTATGGGGGGGTATACTGGAGTTTTGGGTGGCGGAAAATGGGCACTGGTGAAGGGACAGGTGTTTCATCATTGTATGACCGAGACTTAGAACTGAAAGCTTTGTAACTGCTCTCACGGTGATTCAATAAATAAATTTATAAAAAAGGGGGGGGAAGTAAGGCAGAGTCCATGCCCAATTCAATCAGCCTAATCAATGCTGAATAAATAGCGATACTCCTACGTTAAAAAATATTTGAATAAATTAATTAAAATGGTGGCTGGAGGAACAACACAGCGGGTAGAGCGTTTGCCTTGCATGCGGCTGACCCAGGTTTGATTCCCAGCATCCCATATGGTCCCCTGAGCACCACCAGGAGTGATTCTTGAGTGCAAAGCCAGAAGGAACCCCTAAGCATCCCCGGGTATGACCCAAAAAGCAAAAAAAAAAAAAAATAGCCCAGATTCCAAAAAGGAAGAAAAAAGAAAAAAAGCAAACCCTAGCAGACTTGCTTCTGTGTTTCGAGATAAAATCTTGTGTTTCCAGCCCCCCTGTGTCCTTAGGCATCACCTTCACTGACGTTCCTGGGAAGCAGGTGAGCGTCTGAACTGGAGTCTCCAAGCCCCAGCCCCAGCAGCCTGACCCCAATGGGAGCCAGCAGTGTCCAGCCCGCTCCGCAGACCGGCCGTGGGAACGTGGCCAAGAGCAGGTGGCAACGGACACGGCATATTCCTGCAGGTTCTCGTCCTAAAGCTTCCAGCTTGCCTCCTGATTTTCTTTCATGTTTTCATTGGTCATCAAGATGATTCTCAGGATTCTTCTAATTATTTTGGTTTTGTCTTGTTTCAGGGCCACGCCCAGCAGTGCTCAGGGTCTGCCATGGGTAAGGTGAGCACCTACCCATGCTCTATCACTCCAGTCCTTCTTTATTTTTTTTCTTTTCGGGTCACACCCGGTGATGCTCAGGGGTTACACCTGGCTTTGCACTCAGGAATCACTCCTGGTTGTGCTCAGAGGACCATATGAGATGCTGGGGATAGAACCCGGGTCGGCTGCGTGCAAGGCAAACGCCCTCCCCGCTGTGCTATCGCTCCGGCCCCTCCAGTCCTTCTTTTAACTCCTTTGAGTTCTTATTTGATATGACACTTTCTTGCTTTGTTTCGGGGGCAACCCCAGAAGTGCTCAGAGGTGGTTCCTGGCTCTGTACTTAGGGCTCACTCCTGCTATGGCTCTGATTCACTCCATGAATCAAAGCTGGGTCAGCTGCATCCTTCATTCCCAGCCTATCTCTCCAGCCCCTTGCCACAATTCTTTGTTGTTGTTGTTGTTGTTGTTTGTTACACTGTAACCACAGCCAGGAGACCCTCCCCTGGGTGCCAGGCTGGTGGGGTCCCTCGGTTGGCCCCGCTACGCGGAGCCTCTTGCCAGCTCGTTCTACAAGTACCTCTTATTCTCCCTGTATTCACTGAAGACGTTTCCTCCTTCTCTGTTCTCCCACTGAGGGTCTGTTTCTTTTTCTTTTTTTTTTACTTTGATTAGATTCATTGTTTCAACAAAAGATGCACCATTATTATTTAGAGCTTACACCCCCAAATCAGACATGATGGAAAGGCATTGTGAAATAATTTGTTTTCTACAGCTGATTACAAGAATCAAATGAGGTCGCAGTGGCCGCAATAGCGGCTGCGCGATTTTGGATTTCTGGTATTTTACTTATTAAGCCTGGAAGTATTTCTGCTGAGAGTCAGATAATTATGAGATTGGCTTCTGTTCTCTGGAGCCATGGCTGTGCCGGAGAGCCGCTCGTGGGGGGCAACTCCTGACCTTGGTAGGGCGTGAAGGACGAGCCGGGAATGCTCCCCTTCCCATGAGGTTTCAGTCGCCCCACGACCGGCTCATACCTGGCTTTCCATAAAGCTCTAAGACGGCTGCCATCTTTCTTTCCAGAGGGGAAAAAAAAAAAACGGGTCTGTTTCTTTTGCTTTGCTAATCTTGGTCCTTCTCAGCATCTCTCCTTTTCCCCCAATCCTTACAGTAGGGACAGCAGAGCTGGTGGTCTCAAAGGGGGTGCAGGGGATGGGGGGATGGGAGGGCAGTGAGCCCCTCCCGGCCCACCCATTGCTTCCACATACTCGCCCGACATGCTGCACTCTCCCCTGGGCTGGGACCCCTGTTCTTCCTTAGGGACGCTCTGAGAAGCTGCCTCACCCCTCGGCAGGCTGAGGTAGGGGTGCAGTGGGCGGACAGGGGGGTGCAGGCAGCCTCGCCACTTCACAAAGAGCTGGGATAACGGGACACTGCAGGGGCCGCTCCCACGGGGGGGGGGGGGGGTTGTTTGCTCCACGCAGTCGGGGGTCTGCGTCTTACCTCCCCCTCAGCCGTCTCGCCCTCTGCAGCTGTGGCCTCCTCGCCCTCTTCATCCTGGGCTCCGTTCACGGGAGTGAGAAAAGAGAGAAAATGAAATCACCTGAATGTACCATAGAAGGCAACCCGCCTCGATGAACAAATATGAACACAGAAGGCGTGACCTGTAACAGACTCAGCCATCTCTCACGCAAGGGCTCAATGTCTCCACGCTGAGGTACAACAATCTTCACAACTTTCTTATTTATTATTATTATTATTATTATTATTGTTATTTTTTGCTTTTTGGGTCACACCCAGAGATGCACAGGGGTTCTTCCTGGCTCTGTACTCAGAAATCACTCCTGGCGGTGCTCGGGGGAACATGTTGGATGCTGGGAGTCGAACCCGGGTCGGCCATGTGCAAGGCAAACACCCTCCCCACTATGCTATTGCTCCAGCCCCTGGAATGTTCTAAAGATTAAAGGCATTTTCCCACCACTTTCAGTTCTGAAAAAAATGCAGCTAATTAATGTCACTGGTTGGGGCCAGAGGATCACACCACGCAATGCAGAATTTTCAGCTCTGTGGACGGCTGACATTTTTACAAACCCAATCAATTATTCTTATGAACTTGGGTTCCCCGGAAGCAGGGGACAGGCCAAACCCACATGACGACAAAGGGGCTTGTCTTTCAAACGGATGAGCTGGCCCTGGGTTCGAACGCCCCGGCTCTGCAGATCACAGACCATCGGCTGTGGGGATGGACACGGGGTCAGTCCAGGTCCTCCCGCGGGCGCCCTGGAGCTAGCAGCCAAGCGGCCTGCATGTGCCTCATTAACTTATTCTTCATTCAATTACATTCAAATACATTTATCATTGCTATTTTATTATTGGGCTGGAGCAATAGCATAGCTGGTAGGGCGTTTGTCTTGTATGTGGCCGACCAGGCCAACCCGGGTTCGAATCCCCCGTTCCTCTTGGAGAGCCTGGCAAGCTACCAAGAGTATCCCGCCCGCACAGCAGAGCCTGGCAAGCTCCCCGTGGCGTATTCAATATGCCAAACACAGTAACAACAAGTCTCACAATGGTGACGTTACTGGGCCCACTCGAGCAAATCAATGAACAACGGGATGACAGTGACAGTGATTTTATTATTATCAAATCATTCCAAAGACTGTTATTTATTGAACTAAACGTCCATCCTTGGTTCACAGAAGCCCAAGGGGTTCGAGTAGACAGACCCTGTCTGCCGTCACGCAGAGTCATCAAACCCTGGCTGAGTGACAGTGCAGTGGATAGACCTCCCGCCCTGCACACAGCACCTCACAGTCACAGCAGGATGACCCTGGAGAGCAGAGCCAGGCGTGGGCCTGAGCATCACTAGGGAGAGTCAAAAAAAAATTGAAAACAACAGCCTGCCTGCCTCACCTGCTGGGAGAAGGCTTGCTGGGCAACTGACTGCACACACAGAACTTCCCCTTTGTGGGCACCTGGCTCTGCTCAGAGGAGACCCCGGCAGTGCTCAGGGGGACATGTGGTCCCGGGGAGTGACCCGAGCCCCCCGCGTGCCAAGCCAGCCCCCCTATTCCACCGAGCGCTCTCTTCTCCCCCTAAAACTACTTCCCTTTCTGGGGGGGTCGGGGTGGGGGGATGCTATATCTGGCCATGCTCAGGGCCTTCTCCTGACTCTGCCCTCAAGAATCACTCCTGGATAGCGGTGGTGGGAAGTGCCATGGTTGTGGGGTGGTGCTGGTGTACAGGGTATCTGTAACACACTGTCACGAGCTACTTAGTAAAATAAATAAGTATTTAGGGCTGGAGTGATCGCACCGCGGGTAGGGCGTTTGCCTTGCACGCGGCCGACCTGGGTTCGATTCCCAGCATCCCATATGGTCCCCTGAGCAACGCCAGGAGTGATTCCTGAGTGCAGAGCCAGGAGTAACCCTTGTGTATCGCCGGGTGTGACCCAAAAAACAAAATTAATTAATTAATATTTTTTAAAAAATAACTTTTGGATTGGAGGGCTCAGGGGACCCTATGGGGTGCCAGGGACCAAACCCCAGTTGGCCGTGTGCAAGGCCAGCGCCTGACCCGCTGCCCTATTGTTCCAGCCCCAGCCCCAAAACTTGTTTCCGGAGAATTAGTACCCCCAAAGCTCTGATGAGATCCTAAGGAGTGACATGAGCCGTCACGCCCTCACCCACTCACTCGGCAACGCAGCAGCTTAAAGTCACTTCACCTGGTTTTTCTGAGAAAGTTAGTCTGTGGATAAGTGTTGGAACATCGTATACCTGAATCTTAGTCATTAATACCTTTATAAATCATGGTGCGTCTATAAAAATTAAAATTTTAAATAGAAGTTAGAGGAGAGAAATTTGTTGAAAAGAAAGAACAAAAATAAAAGAATGACACACGAAAAGAAGAGAAGGAAGGAAGGAAGGAGGGGGGAGGGAAGGAGGGAGGGAGGGAGGAAGGAGGGAAGGAAGGGAGGGAGGGAGGGAGGGAGGGAGGGAGGGGGGAGGGAGGAAGGGAGGAAGGGAGGGGGAGGGAGGGAGGGAGGAAGGGATGGAGGAAAGAAGGGAGGGAGGGAGGAAGGGAGGGAGGGAGGGAGGAAGGGGGAAGGGAGAGAAAGAGGGAGAAATGAAGGAAGAGAGGAAGGGAGGGAAGGAGGGAGGAAGGAAGGAAGGAAGGAAGGAAGGAAGGAAGGAAGGAAGGAAGGAAGGGAGGGAGGGGGAAAGGAGAGAAAGAGGGAGAAATGAAAGAAGAGAGGAAGGGAGGAAGGAAGGAAGGGAGGGAAGGAGGGTGGGAGGGAGGGAGGGAGGGAGGGAGGGAGGGAGGGAGGAAGGATGGAAAGAAGGGAGGGAGGGAGGGAGGGAGGGAGGGAGGGAGGGGGAAGGGAGAGAAAGAGTGAGAAATGAAGGAAGAGAGGAAGGAAGGAAGGAAGGAAGGAAGGAAGGAAGGAAGGAAGGAAGGAAGGAAAGAAGGAAGGAAGGCGGACTGAAGAATCAGTCTGAGGCAGGGCGGGTATAAAGTCCTGGACTGCCCCCAAGGAGGCAGCCTGGAATTGCCCAGTGGGCTCCTGGTCGTGCAGTGGCCCAGACAGGGGCTGCCGATGTGTCCAGGGCCAGGACTAAGGACAGGGGTGGCCGCGGTGAGTATTGAGCAGAGGCTGGGGCAGCAAGCAGCAACCCGATCGGCCTCTCTGGCTGCCTGAGGAGGCCTGAGCCCCGGCTGCCTCGGGCCCAGCTGGAGCAGAAAGCCTAGCCGTCTTCCTGCCTGCGCTGTCTTTTTTTTCCGCCCCACCCCCACCCCCAATAAATATTTTATTTGGGCACAATGAGTTACAAATGCGCACATGATAGTTTCAGGCAGACACGACCAGAAGGGCAGACAGCAGGTCCTCCAGGCTCCTTCTCTCGGCCAGCGAATCTCCTTCCTGAGATCCTATTGATTTTCCTCCAAATACAATCAGTCCCCAAGCTAACCGTGTTATGACGTCATTTATAATCTGTTTACTGGCAAGCCTGATTTTTATTTTTCTCCTGGATTCAATTAAGTTATGTCAAGGAGCAAAGTATCATTTGTAAAATGGGGGGGCGATAAGAATTTATTTGTCTCTATGTAGAAACAATAGGACAAAGGGGAGCAAAGTGGATTTGAGTAAGTCATGTGATCCAGAATAATCATGTCAGACATGGCTGGGACTGGCTGGGGTGACGCGGAATGAAACCAGTCTGAAGAACAACACCCCAGAACTCGCTCAGGTGTGGAAGATAGAAAAGGAAAGTCTGGCCAGACACAGCCCTGACCCATCACAGAACTGAGGGCAGCACATGCTGGGGGAAAAGGCAGCTCAGATAGAGAAGGGAGCACCAAGTAAAGGGTGTTTGGAGGATTCGCTCAGGATGTGAGATGCGTGCTGAAAGTAGACTATAGACCGAACATGATAGCCACTCAATACCTCTATCGCAAACCACAACACCCTAAAGGAAAGAGAGAGCAAAAAGGAATGCCCTGCCACAGAGGTGGGGTGGGGTAGGGGGAGATGGGATGGGGGGGTGGGAGGGATACTGGGTCCACTGGTGGTGGAGAACGGGCATTGGTAGAGGGATGGGTACCCGATCATTGTATAACTGAAACCCAAGCACGAAAGTTTGTAAGTCTGCAACTGTACCTCATGGTGTCTCACTAGTTAAAAAAAAATTAAAAAATTAAAAATTTTAAAAATGAATAAATAAAAAATAAAGCCAAACCCCAGGGGGAAAAAAAAGAGAAGAACTGAGAACTGAGGGGTGGAGTGACAGGACTGTGGGGAGGGCACTTGCCTGCATGCTGTAGACTGACTTCCATCCCCAGCAACATGTATGGTTCCCTGAGCCCCTCCCTCACCATCAGTGATCGCGGAGTGCAGAGTCAGGAGTAATTCCTGAGCACCATTGGGTATGCCCCCTCCAAAAATAAGAACTGAGGTGACCATCAGGGTTGACCATCAGGGTTGATGGAGTAACTTACTTGTGACAAGGTGCCAAAATAAATCCTAAGATACCCGTTCTGCCATCAACTGTAACCTCAGTAAACAAGAAGACCAGAGGAAGAAAAAATTTAAATGCCCAAGAGTCAAAAATAAAAGAAAATGCGGTTGTGGCAATCAGTGTCGTACGTATACACAAGCTGAAGCTCGTGCACCCCGAGCTTGACATGACGCTATAATGCAGCACAACTTCAATGAACAGATATAAACACAAAACAAACGCAAGTTCCTGGTGCCAGGAACTGCCCCAGCAGACAGGCGCACAGGCTTTGCCCACAGGAGGCCCGAGGACCATCCTTGGCACTGCATGAGGTTGCCCAAGCACCATTGGGGACCCAGAGCACTGAATCAGAAGTAACCATAAGAGATAACTCCCAACAAATGTTATCTCAGATCAGCACATAAATGAACTTGGAGGGATGAAGACCAGAAGGCAGAGCCTTTGCCATGGAGGCCAGGCCAGAGAAAATCAACCCCTAGATACAGGGGGTACGTGGGTGGGCAGAAAGATGGCTCAGTGGTCTGGAGCTTGGGGGAGGCCCATGTTCAACTCCCAGAGCACAGGATCCTCTAAGCACTGCCAGGAACAAGTCCTGAGAGGTTAGGAGTCCCCTAAATACAACTGGGTATTACCAAAGAAAAATCATAATAATAATAGAAAACAGGGGCTAGGGAGATAGCTCAGAGGGGTGGAGTGCATGCATTGCATGTGTGGGGCCCTTATAAGCCCCCCCCACACACATATCACAGGGCCCAAAGCATCGAACCTTCAGGCCTGCAGAGTTGGGCTGAGTGTCTCCAGAAGTGGTCCTTCCCCACCCCCAACCCTGTACTTCCAGAAACCGCAGCAGCCTCCAATTTATAAACGTCCCAGTTTCACCGGCTCATGATTAATCTTGAGGGAGGACTAGCCAAAGAGCTGTCCTGCACTGTTCACAATAGCCAGAATCTGGAAACAGCCCGAGTGCCCGAGAACCGATAACTGGTTAAAGAAAATTTGGTACATCTACACAATGGAATACTATGCCACTGTTAGGAGAGATGAAGTCATGAAATTTGCTTATAAGTGGATGGACAAGGAGAGTATCATGCTAAGGGAAATGAATCAGAGAGAGAGGGACAGACATAGAATAGACATGACTACAATCACTTGTGAGATATAAAATAACATAATATGAGACAGACACCCAAGGACTGTAATGATAAGGGCAGGAAGATTGCCCCATAGTTGGAAGCTGCTTCATGAGCTGGGGGAGAAGGCAGCTGGAATAGAGAAGGGATCACTAAGTCAATGATGGTTGGAGGGATCGCTCGGGATGGGAAATGTGTTCTGAAAGTAGATAAAGGACCAAACATGATGGGTGGCCTCTCAGTATCTGTACTGTAGACCATAATGCCCAAAAGTAGAGAGAGAGTATGGGGGAAATTGTCTGCCATGGAGGCAGGGGGAGGGATGGATGGGGGGGGGAGGATACTGGGGACATTGGTGGTAGAGAATGTGCACTGGTGGGGGGAATGGTGTTAGATCATTGTATGACTGAAACTCAAACATGAAAGCTTGTAACTATATCTCATGGCGTAGCACTGTCTGTCTGCCATCCTCCTCTTGTTCACTGATTTGCTCGAGCAGACACCAGTAACGTCTCCATTGTGAGACTTGTTGTTACTGTTTTATCGAATATGCCACGGGTAGCTTGCCAGGCTCTACCAAGCAGGTGAGATACTCTCGGTAGCTTGCTGGGCTCTCAGAGAGGGGCAGAGAAATCGAACCCTGGTCAGCCGCATGCAAGGCAAATACCCTACCCGCTATGCTATCGCTCCAGCCCATCTCATGGTGATTCAATAAATAAATAAATAAATAAATAAATAAATAAAAAGTTTTGTTCCTGTTCAACAGCTCCTAGAGCTCATGGCCGCATATGTGGCTGTAGAACCCCTCAAAATTCCACCATCCTGCCAGCCCAGGAGGAGCACAGCTGTTAGATGGGGAAGTAGTGCAGAATCCCATGAAGCTCAGCAAGCAAAAGCAGTAATACAGAAGGAGCAACTAGCCACAAGCATCCCAGTAAACCCTCAGACAAGGACTTTAGTAACACCCCTGCAAGATACAACAGTTTTCACTAATTTTCTTTTACTGAACTATGTTTTGATAATTCCATTTGCCTTTTTTGTCGTAATAAACAGTATAAAATAAATTGTTTTGTTTCTGCCAAGGGGGCAGATTTGAGGGGTGGGAAACTGGGAAACTGGAGGAAAAGGTTGCAGGAAGGTCAAACTGGTGCTGGGTTTGGTGCCAAAACACTGGATTCCCCAAAAGACCGTATTTGAACAATTTTGCAAGCCACAGTGTTTAAATAAAGTTATTAAAAAAATAATAAGTTCCCCCCACCAGTCTCCCAGCACCAATGGGTAACCCACCCCAGAAAGCCACTCCTTCCTCTCAGTCTTCAGAGACTGGTTTCCAGGCCAGGCTGTAATGTTTGTCTTTACGTCTTTTGTAAAAGAAGCACACTGAATTTTGAAACATAACTAAACCAGGGGCTGGAGAGATAACACAGCAGGGAAGGCGTTTGCCTTGCACACAGCCAACCCGGGTTCAATCCCAAGCATCCCATAGGATCTCCCAAGCACTGCCAGGAGTCATTCCCGAGTGCAGAGCCAGCAGTAACCCCTGAGCATTGCCAGGTGTGACCCCCCCCCCAAAAAAAAGAAGAAGCATCAGGCAATTGATGAGAAGGTTGAATGATTAAAAACCACATAACTGTATGAGCTGGCGGTGACGGGGCAACTGCAGTCTCATGGGAAGGGGGGTGGTACCAGCTCGTCCTTCTGCCCTACCGAGGTCATGAGTTGCCCTCCCACAAGCGGTTCTTTGGCATGGCCATGGCTCCAGAGGCAAAAGGACTTAGTCCAGAGCCCAGCAGCTTGCAGAAGAAAAGTGAATGGACCATGCATTAAACTATGGCACCATGCCTCCCCAGGATGGAAAGGGTGTTGCTCCCTTCCTCCTTTTCCCCCCCGGCAGCAAGGTGGCCGCCGCCTCAGAGCTTATAGGAAAGCCAGGTACGAGCCGGTGGTGACAGGGCAACTGCAGTCTCATGGGAAGGGGGGAGGTACTGGCACGTCCTTTACACCCTACCGAGGTCATGAATTGCCCCCCACGAGCAGCGCTTCAGCACAGCCATAACACCAGACACACAGAAACCAATCTCGTAATTATCTGGCTCTTTGCAGAAATCCAAAATCGCGTGGCCGCTATTAGGGCTGCATGACATTACATGATTCTCATAACCAGTTATAGAAAACAAAGTATTTCACAATGCCTTTTCAGCAATTCTGATTGTTTGGGGGGAAATTGTAAACAATAATGGTGCATCTTTTGTAGAAATAATGAATGTAATCATTGTAGAGAAGAGTTAAGTAGAAATCATCTGCCTCACAGGCATTTGGAGGGGTGGGAGTGGGGGTATACTGGGGTTCTTGGTGGTGAAGAATGAATACTGGTGAAGGGAAAGGTGTTTGATCATTGTATGACTGAGACTTAAACCTGAAAGCTTAGTAACTTTTCCCATAGTGATTCAATAAATAAATATAAAAAGAAAAAAAATTAAGGCGAAGTTCATGTCCAATTCAATCAGCTAATCAATGGCTGAATAAATAGCAGTACTCCTAAAAAAAAAAAAATAACCACATAATTGGGGCTGGAGCGATAGTACAGCAGGTAGGGCGTTTGCCTTGCACGCGTCTGACCCAGGTTTGATTCCCAGCATCCCATATGGTCCCCCATGCACCGCCAGGAGTAACTCCCGGGTGCAGAGCCAGAAGTAACCCCTAAGCATCGCCACATGTAACCCAAAAAGAAAAAAAAAATGTGTAATTTTAAATGACAAGATAATGAATCTGTCCCTGGATTTTCTTTTTTTTCTTTTTGGGTCACACCTGGCAATGCACAGGGGTTACTCCTGGCTCTTCACTAAGGAATTACTTCTGGCGGTGCTCAGGGTACCATACGGGATGCTGGGAATCGAACCCGGGTCCGCCGCGTGCAAGGCAAACGCCCTACCCACTGTGCTATCGCTCCAGCCCCTGGATTTTCTTTTGAAATTATACAGGCTGCCACAAAATCCTACTGACTATCTAGATCAGGACCGAAAATTGTGGAACAGAGTGATGGTTCAACAGGTAGGACTCTTGCCTTGCACATGGCCAACCCAGGTTCGAGCCCCCACACACCATCGGAAATAATCCCTAAGTGCAGAGCCAGGAGCAAGCCCGGAGCATGCACAAGCCTGGCCCCCTACGCCAGACAAAATAAAAGAGACTGAAATTGTGTCTTTCTTCGGAATGAGCAAGATCTCCCCCCACCCCCACCCCCCTGTGTTTCCCAGCACTGAGCCGGCAGGCTTCGGGCAGGAGGACACTCAGTGTCCGGGATTTTCCAGCTTTAACCCCCAGGTCAGGGCTGGAGTGACGGTTCAGCGAGTAGGCGGTACAGCAGGTAAAGCGTCTACCTGGATACCATCCCCAGTAAGGTGTGAGCCCACCAGCCAAGCATGAGGAACAGACCGGAGCAACCGGCCGGGAGCAGAAGCACCCCGCCGTCCTAAGGAGAAGGGACACTCTGGGCACGAGCCCACTGATGGAGTCCCTGCCTGGCTCACGGCCATCTGCTTGGAAATCTTTGAGGAAGTGACCACCCCTCATCCCCAGTCCTCCACTGTCTCAGTTGGATCCTTCTAGAACCACCGCCTCGCCCCACCCCTACCAGCTGCAGCCCCCTTTATCCTGCTCCTGGGTCTGAACTCCTTTAGAGTTTGATCATTGGTCTTGGATCACCTGGTCGAGCATCCCCCTGTTTGCTTGCTTGTTGGGGGCACTGACCCCAGAACCACACATGTGCGAGGCCAGCGCTCTCCACTAGGCTACCCTCCCCCAACTGGGCCAGGACCCGGGTGCCTTTCCCTCCCTGCATACCCGCCTTTCTCGCCTCAGTTCCTCTTGGTCTCCCATAAAGATGTCCCACCCACCCCCAAACAGGCTGGGAGTCAGTCACCAGGAAAATGGCCTTGTTCTAGAAAGAACCTGAAGCTCACCTGCCCTGGGTGACACAGTCACCAGGCCGGAAAGACAGCTGGCTACTGTGTTCTCCTGTGTCCCAGCCTCCTTCCAGCTCTCCCAGAGCCTGACGCAACCCTGACCCAGCCCAGGAGAATCACCTCAACTTCCAGCCCTCGCTCTCCTGATCACTGTCCCAGACCCAGGAAGACACTCGGCCCCAGCAGGGGGCAGTGATGGGCTCACACAGACTCCAACCTGACCAGATGCCCAGGAGAGACCAAACACTCACTTTCTTCTCTTGGGACTCGGCGAGGTCGCCTGCATCTTCTTTATCTTCTTTTTCTGCCTCATTTTCTCCACTTTCTTCAACATTCTCTGTTCCCTGATCATAAAAAAAATTCACAGTATGGCTAACCTGAGAAGGCTCCAAGGAACCATCAGACACCCCAACCCACCCCTCACCCCTCACCCCCACTGCCAGGTGATAGCCTCTGCTGAGAAGCAGCTGAAAACAGCCAGTGAAGGTCTCTTGTCTGCCTTCGCCAGCTGGAGGCTGCTCATTGGAGGGTATCGGGAACTAGAGAGCTCAGAGGCTGCAGCGGCCGCACACGAGGCTGCAAATCGGACAAAGGGTATTTGGATCTATCGGTGCAAGCCCACAGGACTAGCTCATTGGCCAGGAAAAGTCATCAGCCCCTGAATGAGGAGTTTCAATTAACCCACCAAAAACTTATAAAGAAGAGTTCAGAGGCTGGAGCAATAGTATAGCAGATAGGGCATTTGCCTTGCACGTGACCAACCCGGGTTCGATTCCCAGCATCCCATATGGTCCCCCAAACACCACCAGGAGTAATTCCTGAGTGCATGAGCCAGGAGGAACCCCTGAGAATCGCTGGGTGTGACCCAAAAAAACAAAAACAAAAAAAATAAGAGTCCAAAGGAATCAGAATTAGGCGAGGTTTGCTTCCTTGTGTGTGTGTGTGTGTGTGTTGGGAGGTGGGCAAGGATCTGTAATCTCAGATTGCTGAGGAAACTCCAGCTGAGAGCAGGAAGATCTGGATGCTGGGTGACAGGTAGAGCGGAGTGAGACATTTATGTTTTGTTCTTACGCCTCAGGGCTTCCTCCTACCCAGCATTCATGTATCACTCCAGGTGGGGCCCATGGGACCTATGGGGTTCTGGGAATTGAATCCACCCAGGTCAGTCATGTGCAAGGCAAGTGCCCTCCCCACTGTACTATATATCTCTGGCCCAAAGATGAGAGTGATACTTAGTAGACAAATAGATGGCCCATAGAAACATATAATATACCCATAAATAATAGATGAATGCATAGACAGATACACACATACACGGATAAATAATGGATAACAAGGAGATAGACAAGAGTGGTGATACATATATACTTGATCATAGATGATATATAGGTTAGACTGATAGATGGGTAGATGGACAGATGGGTATTCAGACAGTTGAATGGCTGGATAGATGAAGGGGTGGATGGATGGATGGATGGATGGTGAATGGATGGATGGGTGGATGGGTGGGTGTGTGGATGGATGGATGGATGGATGGATGGGTGGATGGATGGATGGATGGATGGGTGTGTGGATGGATGGATGGAGGATGGATGGATGGATGGATGGATGGGTAGATGGATGGATTGATGGGTGGGTGAATGGATGGATGGATGGTTGGATGGATAGATGGGCAGACACACACATGCAGATGGATGGATGAGAGTAGACAGATGATAGATAAACAGAAGACAGGTAGGTAGACGACAGACAGACACAGAGCAGCCTCGGGTCCAGTGGACACCGTGTGGCACCGATTCTCACCTCCGTGGTACCCTGTGCCTCTCCCTCTACATCACCGTTGGGAAGTGAAGATGCTCCCTCGGGGGATTCTGTCACCTGCACCACAGAAATCAAGACATTTTCTTGAGAATAATAGCTTTTGGGGGGGGCTGGGGAGGGGAGGGGATCTGGGAACACTGGTGGTGGGAAGTTAACCCTGGTGGTCGGATTGGTGTTGAAATATTATATGCCTAAAACTCAACTATCAGTAACTTTGTAAATCACAGTTCTTTAAAATGTTTTTTTACAAAAGAGAGAATAATAGCTTGTATCGCAATATCTTTTAACTATTAAGACTGTTCGCATCCTTCCTTCCCCCTTTAGCAAACTGTGGCCTAAATGTAGGGCAGATCCCTACATGAGAGACAAGGAAACAAGGGCAGGAAATGCCCCCTGGGGTCCAGAGCTCGATCCACAGCCCTTCTGGGTCCCCGTGGCTCACCCAGCAATGCCCAATCGGTTCTTTCTTCCCATCATGAGAGGGAAGTACATGCGGGAACAGGTGTGAAATATTCTATGTTCTTATCTCAAAATCACTTTACAGTCTCCTGCCCCCGCGCCTGGCTATTCCTCGCCGGAGCCCCTTGGAGGGGAGCGGGTTGAGCTTTCCTCCCCGCCCTGGCCAGGGCCCCGGCAGCCGAAGACCTCCAGGACCAGCCACCACCATGCTGAGACCACTCTCCGCACACCTGAAGGTACCGGCAGAGGGACAAAGCCACGTGGGTTCCGGGGCCAAGATCTCCAAGCCTACTCGGATTGGAGTCGAGCATCCTCCACCCAGATCCTCCAAATTCCAGTAGGCGGGGGTCACACCCACCAACTGGCCCCCTGGCGCCGTGTAATCCCATCAGTGGCCAAGACTCTGAGACTATAAAAACCAGCTCCCAGAACTGCGCGGCCGCATTTGCGGCTGCGTGACATCTTATTATAGCATCTCATTCCTACTTTGACGGCAGGGTCTGGCAAACTCCCCGTGGCGCACCCAATATGCCAAATACCAGTAACAATGATGGGTTTCATTCTCCTAAAGAGCCTTGAATATAACCTCAGGGCCAGGATGAAGGAGACGTTACTGGGGCCTGCTCGAGGCAATCGACGAATAACAGGATGATCTGTGATCTGTGATCTGATCTCAAAAACACTTTACTGACACAGAAACTCACATATCACCCTGATATAGCACCCTCATATACCAACTATAGTTCAGTAAAATGAGGGAAATATAGGTCATTTCTATTCAGAAGCCCCTGAAGCACATGAGACAAACACATGGACACTCTCAAATCCCACCAGTGTATTATTAAAATTGTAAATTTAAAAAAAATTGACATGCATATTAGCACTGTAGCACTGCACTATCCTCCCATTGTTCATCGATTTGCTCGAGCGGGCCCAGTAACGTCTCCATTGTGAGACTTGTTGTTACTGTGTTTGGCATATCGAGTACGTCACGGGGAGCTTGCCAGGCTTTGCCGTACGGGAGAGATTACTCATGTTATATACGTGGGAACTGTTCCATTTGTTTTGTTTTGTTTGGGGGCCACATCAAGCAGTGCTCAGGGGTTAATTCCAGGCTCAGCACTCAGGAATTCCTCCTGGCAGACTCAGAGGACTATATGCCAGGGATCAAACCCAGATCAGCCGTGTGCAAGGCAAGCGTTCTACCCATCATACTATGGCTCCAGCCCCTGTTTGCCTTATTCATCCCTTAAAAAAAAAAATCACTGTGGAGTTCATGTCCAGTTCAATCAGCTAATCAGTGGATGAATAAATAGCAGTACTCCTACATTAAAAAAAATTACTGTGCATGACTTAAATTTTTATCTTAATGGACATTTATCCTGGTTAATTTATATGGTTTCATTCTTTCATACATCTGCTTCATATTAAATATGTAAAATTTTACTCAGACATTCCCCAGTTGATGGTTGTTCAAAATGTTTTCCTGTTTATGCGTCTACAAACAACACTATATTAAACACAAACTGAACAAAATTGTGGGATATTGTAATTACATTTCTTTCCCACCCCCCTTCTTGGTTTTTTGTACCACACCCAGCTGTGCTCAGGGCTGACTCCTGGCTCTGCACTCAGGGATCACTTCTGGCAGGCCCAGGAACTCCTATGGGGTACCAGGAATTGAACCCAAGTTGGTCGCTTGCAAGGCAAGTGCACTACCCACTGTACTATCTCTCTGGCCCCTAAAGTATTTTTTCTTCCTTTTAAGGAGATGAAATGTGCTACAGGGGGTAGGCAAGATCGTTTAGAGGCCAAAGTGCTGCTGTGCACGCGCCCAACCCCAGCACACCTCAAGTTCTTCTCAGCACCACCAGAAGACCCCAGAGCCCAGAGCCAAGAGTACCTCCACTACCATCCCCCCCAAAAAAAATGTAATAGACTTAATGGTTCCATATAAGTAGTGAGACCGATTTTGTTTTCTTTTGCTTGCCACCAAAATATCTAAAAGGTAAAGGTAAAGGCCCTCCCGTTGTTCGTCGATTTGCTCGAGCGGGCCCAGTAACGTCTCCATTGGAGACTTTGTTGTTACTGTGTTTGGCATATCGAATACTCTCGGTAGCTTGCCGGGCTCTCTGAGAGGGGTGGAGGAATCGAACTCGGGTCGGCCATGTTGGCTGTGTGCAAGGCAAATGCCCTACCCGCTGTGCTATCGCTCTAGCCCTCATTTGGTTTTTGTTTTGTTTTTGCTTTTCAAACATCTGACGATGCTCAGGGGTTACTCCTGGCTCATGCACTCAGGAATTACTGCTGGCAGTGCTTGGGGGACCATATGGGATGCTGGGAATCGAACCCAGGTCAGCCGCGTGCAAGGCAAATGCCCTACCCACTGTGCTATCGCTCCAGACCCGAGACATCCATTTCTCTTGCACACGATTCTCATTCTGCTGCTCAGGCCTCGGCCCTTCAGAAGCCACCCATAGTAAATGAACAACAAATGCGCCCAGTCTTTGCCAATGCAGATCCGTCCATGGGCTTCTTTTCCTCTGAGGCCCCCACGAGCATTTCCAGATGCTCGATGCCAGGAAGGGTCCTGTGCAGTCTGTTGGCTGGGTTCCCAACGGCATCTCCCCACAGCTGTGACCACCCGGGCCCTGGCTCAGGATCCCGACACCCAGTCAGGGAGCAAACGCCAACGACCACCTCGGTCCAGCAGACAAGATGCCACACGTGGGGCTACAGCAGTCACTGCTGGACACGCAGGGGCCTGCGGCTGGGCTGGGGACTCTGTCCCTGCTCTCCGGCCGCCCTTCCCCGGCGGGTCAGTGAGCTGGCTGCCACCCAGGCTTTTTATAAACCGACTCCGAAGCGGTTCTGTGAGGTGACATGGGGCGCTTGGGAACAAGAGTCCCTCTGCCTGACCTTTGCAGGATCCGAGGTGTTAGAGGAGCTTTTCACGCCCCGTGCTAAGTGAAAGTGCCGGGAAGCCCCACCGGGATCCCCCGTCACACGGGAGCAGCCTCGAGTTATTCAAATCAGAGCTGGTGCCATAGAGTGAGCTTGCTGCCATAGAGGCAGGCTAGGGGGTGGGAGGGGTGATGGGAGGGAACCTGGGGACACTGGTGCTGGGAAATGTACACTGGTGGAGGGGTGGGTGTTAGAACACTCTAGGACTGAAACCCAATCGCGAACAGCTTTGTAAGGGTCTAGCTCACAGTGATCCAAGAAAAAGGTTTAAAAAATGTGGGGATGTCAAAAGGAGAGAGACAGAGATAGACAGAGACAGAGAGACAGAGAGAGACAGAGAGACAGAAAGACAGAGAGAGAGACTGAGAGACAGAGACAGACAGACAGAGACAGAGAGACAGAAAGACAGAGAGAGAGACTGAGAGACAGAGATAGAGATAGAGACAGAGACAGAGAGACATAGAGAGACAAAGACAGAGACAGAGAGACAGAAAGAGACAGAGAGACAGAGAGACAGAAAGACAGAGAGACTGAGAGACAGAGACAGACAGAGAGACAGAGAGACAGAAAGACAGAGACAGAGAGACAGCGATAGAGACAGAGACAGAGAGACATAGAGAGACAAAGACAGAGACAGAGAGACAGAGACAGAGACAGAGAGACAGAGAGACAGAGACAGAGAGACAGAGATAGAGACAGAGACAGAGAGACAGAAAGACAGCGACTGAGAGACAGAGAGACAGAGAGACAGAAAGACAGAGAGACAGAAAGACAGAGACAGAGAGACAGAGAGACAGAAAGACAGAGACAGAGAGACAGAAAGACAGAGACAGAGAGACAGAAAGACAGAGACAGAGAGACATAGAGAGACAAAGACAGAGACAGAGAGACAGAGAGAGACAGAGGCAGAGAGACAGAGAGAGAGACAGAGACAGAGAGACAGAGAGACAGAGAAAGACAGAGAGACAGAGATAGACAGAGACAGAGACAGAGAGACAGAGATAGACAGAGACAGAGAGACAGAAATAGACAGAGACAGAGACACAGAGATAGACAGAGACAGAGACAGAGACAAAGAAGAAAAGTGCCTCCCAGAGAGGCAAGCAGTGGGGGGGGGAGCGAAACTTGGGGCACTGGTGGTTAAAAATGTGCACTGGTGAAGGGACGGGTGCTGGAACATGATATAACCAAAACCCAATTATGAACAACTTCATAACTGTGTATCTTCCTGTGATTCAATTAAAAACTTAATTAGAAAATTAAGTAAAAATGAAAAAATAAAGAGCGAGCTTGCTTTCTGGCGGCGGCGTCATCCACGATCCTCCTGGAAGAGTTGCCTGGTGCCTAGCCTGGTTTTACCTGCCGAAGACCAGCAGCAGAGGCTATGAGCGACTCAGGCTCCTCCCGACACGAACACGGGTCTGGACGCACCCGTTTCCTGTGGGATTGTCCCATTGTCTCTTCTCAGCGGAGAGATTATTCATTTCCCAGCTGACATGCCTCGGCAATGCTGTTTATAACAATGTGGCTTGGTGACAAGTCATTTAATTTTCCATAAATCAAAGGTCTCTGTCCTCCCAAGGATCCCGGGAGGTCCTTGAGTGCTGCGCTCACATAAACACCTATAACCCGGC